CCTTCCCACCCGCTGCCCCACTCCATGGGCTGTCGAGGCATCTGATTTGAGCCTGGGCCTCAGATCCTGCAAGATTTTAAGCTTAGGGATTTTAGCAGCAATCAGAAAGAGTTGTAATCTGGATTCAGGCAGAACAGCCGCTACCCCTTCCCCTCTTTTTGAGAGCATAGGATACTTGCTACTGCCAGCTGCCACCAGCCTTCCAGGCATGCTGATCTGATGCCCATATGTCTCCTCCTAAAGTCTTCCTAATAGTTTGGGAACCTCTCTCAAGCTATATCTTTAAAAGCTTTCAAATTTCTCTTCCAGAGGACTATGAGAGCTAAACAAATGAGTGGTTTCTCACAAAGTGTTATGCTTAAAATCCACATTACTTGGACATGCCTCTAGAAGTATAACCAGTATTTGCAGGCAAAATTCCTCCCTCTGTCTTCCCCACACTCCATGTCCTCCTGTCTGCAGGACCATCCACTCACTCCTGTACCTCACTGTTTCCACTTCATCTTCCTGGCAGTGAATGACTGCCCCTACTGCCTCTCAAGAGAGGTATCTGAAATTAGACTAGGCCTAGCATCATCTCTCAGACGGCCTCTGGGACAACTTCAAAGTACCATGAGGTGACCTGTTCCTTAATAAGGGCCATATCACTCTCAAATTAACTGCAGAAAAATTGATTCCCTGTGCTAAAGCCAGCCTCCTGGTGTAAACTCACCTGAATGGTGACCCACCACGATGGAGCCCTCTTGACAGCTCTCCTCCTAGTAAGATCAAAGCCTTACAGCTAGCAGAGAGGCAACTACAACGCAGCGTGTTCAAGCTCCAAGCTGCATCCCAGAGCCACAGTGCACAACAAACAACACAGTACAGCTTGCAGCAAGACCCTTCTTGAAAGTTTCCATGAACTTTTAATAATACATTCCACAGACCTCCTAAATCAAGCCCATTCTTACGGAGATACTCAATCACCCATTTCCACTATTGATCATCGTGACTTATCACAGCAATAAGATTAAAAGAAGGGGGGGAACATCCAAATACACCTCATGATTAAGGCTTTATCTGCATTTTCGATTTCAGGAGTACTCGCATCTCAACCTCCCTCCTGTCCCAAACATCCCTTAAGGCTCTGCTGCCTAGCCAGCCACTCCTCACCTTCCTTCATCAGACACTTAGCAGACTTCCTCCTCACGCTTAACAGCATTTCCACGGTGCTTCTGTTTTCCAATCACTGCTTTCAGACGTGCAGCCCTCATTTAAACCTTTGTTTAATATTAAAGCCCTTTTCAAATATTTAATATGAAATTAATTTGAATCCAGCTGGGGAAGAACAAGAAGGATATACCTGTTTAGCAAAATACTACTCCAGACAAGCAAAAGACACTGAATAAAGATCTTTTAAAAGATCAACCCAGAAATTCTTCTGTAGACTGAAAAAAAGAAGGACAAGGATGAGAAATTTTGTATACTGGACAACTTGTCGTTGGATCGCAGATGAAGTTGACCAGAACCCTGACAACAACATTTCAACCCCAGGTATTTGCTTTCTTTCTACTGCTGCAACACTCCATGAGATAACTTGCATAGGCAATTTTCCACAAATCTGTTATAGGAAAGTGCACACTCTGAATAATGAACTGACATATTAGAGATTATTAACATCTCCTGACAACCAAAACTCTCCTCAGAAATGGAGAGATCCCAAAGGGCAAGCCTAGCTAACCAGGGGGGGATGCTGGCAAAGCCAAACGCATCACCGACCTGAAGTACTTATCGCAACAACGTGCCTAGAGAGTTCCACAGCACACGATTCCAACACAAGCTCTCACCCACAAAACACTGGTAATGAGGAAGCAAATAGATGAAAGACTACTGGTTAATTGAGTGTTTAAATTGGCCATTCTGCCTCCTGTGACCTATACCAAAAGCACTCCTTTAAAGTCCAGGAGTTAAACTCATATAGATTTGTCAGATTGGCTATGTTAGAATATTTACATCCTAAGCAGTAACGATATGTATTAAAATCTCAGTAGCTACAGGCGATGAATCTGATCTTTACTGCAGCTTCCACGGCAGATTAATTACATTAATTCAGTTAACATACACAAGGTTAAAACTTCCATTACACCAAAATACAATCCTGGAAAGTACACGCAGCCCCTTGATCTCCTCACCATACCAGTATCAGCGCCAAGAGGACAAGACTTCTTAAGAGGACGGGGCTGTGGACATGACTGACCTCGGACATCAACCTGTACTGCCCTGCAGCCAGGAGCCTGCCCAGGTCCGTGCTCTCCCTCTGCAGGATGCCGTATTTTGCTGTTCTTCGTGTGGAAGAGGCCGGATGGGTCCCTGCTCCCAAGAGTCAGGAATATGACAGAGAGGGATGCTGAGCGAACGCCACTCTTTCTCGGCGATTCCAGACTGCAGTCCAGGTGCATTGTTAGCAAGGTACAGAGGAGGTTTAGCTGCTGTGGGTTGCTAGACCTACTCTCCAAGGCTGTTCCCACTGGGTCTGCTCTGGGTGCCAGCCATCTTCTACATGTTTTTTTTGCACCTCTACATCTCGATTCTCTACAAACTAACTGACTTTGTGAAGTGCCTCATTTACCACCTACCTTGCCACAGTTAACTTAATAGCAAGTCAGCTTGTTTGAGAGGATTTGGAAAGAAGACAGCTTGGCAGAGACTTGTCTCATGGGTTATTTCCCAGATTCCCCAAACCGGGAAAGTGGAGGAAAGCTGTTTACCTTCTTTCTGCCAATTCTCCAAATGCAAAGGTGTCTTTCTTGTGTCCCCATGAGAAGACTGAATCCACAGGCACTTTTCACCACTGCTGCTTCTGCACAGCCACTAACTGGCCCAGGGAATAACACTTCTACAACCATAACAGTACCACAGTTGCCTTCCACCGGTTTCCAAAAACAGCGAGAAAAAGCTCACCTTCCTTGCTCAATGGGTGGACGTGTTCATTTGAAGAATTCATACTCAATAGCCATGTCAGCAACAACTCAAAGCAGAAGCGTTGGTCAGCTACCATGGAGAAAAAAGATATGGTTGTGGAAAGATTCCTCTTTCCGTAGAGAGGAAGAGAGACTCTTTCACTCCCCCTTCAACAAATTACTGATCGGCTTGCCACTCTCGAAAGCACTGTACCAATCCAACTGTTCCCACAAAACAACCCCAGAACATCTGCATCTTTGTAGTACCGAAGTAATGAGTTTGACACACTCAGTTGAGTCTGCCACACTGAACAAGTTTCCTCTCCATCAACACTGCAAGCTGCCGCTTCGCAGATCCGAACAGTCAGCTTCCCCAGATAAGGCAGCTCCTTCCTGGAAATGGAAGATAGAGCTGCCTTATCTCAGGAAAGCGAAGATAAAAGGTCACTCTTCACTAAGTGGCAAAGTTCTCACCTTGAAAGCTTTGCCCCTTGATTGGCATGGAACAGCCAAGGTCATGGAACTTTTAATCAGATGCCTGCATAATTACTCAATCGTTATTAATTATATCAGAGAGCCGAGACCTCAGAGAAAAGGCAAAGCAAACAAAGAACCCAATGAAGCCGCCTCTGTTGTTGGAAAAAACTGGTAATTAAAAGTCATGAGTGCACCAAAGAGCGAGCGAACAGCATCACAGTCACTGTTCAGGACTCAGAAGTGACTTGCATATAAAACAGGAGGCTTGTCTCCCTGGGGAAATTACAGGGTACTGCGTTACAAAGCAGTGAGTAGGAATAAAATTAAAAAAAAAAAAAGACAGAGAAAGAACCACTCCTGTTTTACCAATAGCTTTATTTGCCCCACAGAGAGTGACAGCACCGCCAACCAGTTCCAAGTTTGAGAGGTGCCTTGCACATGATTTTGGCAGCTCTAGAAAGCCTTCTCCCAGCCTTACATCATGAAGGGTTCCCATACTGAGAAACACACAAAAGCATGAGAGCTTGTGTTCAACCTAATCCAGCCTACCCACAGGCCTTGCCCAAACAACAACTACTCCAACGAAAAGCCTTTATTTCCCTCAATGACCTGAGCTCAGCCTTAGTCACTACTCTTTCTCCAGAGGCTGCCCTTCAAAGTACCACTGCTGAAAAACCAAGGAACTTCAATCTGCCCTAAACACCCCAAAAAACCAAAAGAAGAAAGAATGCCATGGTCCTGCTCACACCATAATTATTCAGACTAAATAGTCATGATCTCCACTGAAACCAAAGCAAGTGCTTTTGGTAATCAGGCTATGAGAAGATAAATGCTGATGTGTTTCCATACCAATGATACAACATGCCATCTCGGGGCATTGAGCTAATCAAAGATGACATCAGATGAAAAAAAGGCACCAGACTATCTACCAACATCTACAGGCAAACACAGGAATACCTCTCACTGCTATATAGGAAGTCCTGTAAATCTAATCCTAAAGATGACCATACACAAGAGGTAGCAAGTCTGGGCCGAGTTCCTGAAGACATCAGTTTAGATGGATTATGAGACTGGTGAGAAGAACAGACACTCTCATGCACTCAGCCCTCCCAACATACAAAAAAAGAACAGCAAAACACCAGAAGCCCAAAGAGAACAGTTTGTAAGTCCCAGAGATCAGAACAGAAGAGATATTTTCTACTCCACTGCTCCAAGTATAATGACTCAAAAAGATGTATCTTCAAGATACTATAAATAAGAAAGTCTCCCATTTAAAATATGAGCAAAAAGGAATAAAGGATAACTGCAGCAGAAGCAGTAATGCAATTTGTGGGAGTCCGCCACTGAATAAAAAAATTAATAACAAACAACCTCTGGCTAACTGCAGCCATTTCATTATGCTTAACTTTGACAGACCCAAATCCAATGAACATTTATTGAAGTGCATCTGGTTCTTCTTTATCCCTTTTCTGAACTTCCACTGCTTGCCAATGCAATGCCCTTCCACTGCTGCAACCTTATCCCAGCACTCTGTTTCCTACTGCTGAATGCTAAGCCCTCAACCCCCATGTGACAGCACCGTACCTGTTGAAGATATCGCCCGACACCTTCTGCAGATACTGCAGTGCATCTGCCATCTGCTGAACAGCCTCCTCCCTGCGCAAGTCTGGTTGGATCAGGGGGACCGAGTACGTCTGCCCTTCCAAAAAGTGCTTCTGGGCTACTGTAGCCATTGTGCCTACAGGAAAGAGCAAATAGGTCATTAGAGCAAATAGGTCATTACAGTAAACACACCTCCAGTTTATCACAGCTTTTATTCAGGGACTTCCACTCTCTGCTCCCTTAATTATTTTAGGAAAGCATTTGCGATGGAATCAGTGAGCTGAGGAGAAAGGCACAAGTAGTAAGGCTGACATATTGGATTTTTAATAAATCCAAGGCAGCTACAGTGAGGTGGGAGTCTCTTGCTTACCTGAATGCTCTTGAGAAGCATAATTTTATTTTTAGCATGATACTTGGAAAATTTTTGCTCAGTACTACGCTGAAAACAAAGACCACACTTTGGAGCAAAGTCAGTTCAGGGTGGTGGTAAGACTCATCAGAAATCACCCTGTGTCGTCCTCCCATCCTCATATTCCAGACGGATGTATTTCAGGTCATTCAACCCTCTTAGCAAAATGCAGTATTTCATCTTACACTTCTGCTCCAAGAAACACAGCCACTGCTCCCTTCCAAGAACATTACAGGGCATGCATGTGCACACACGCCCTTGCTCCAAGTAGGTTAATGAGAGTTCTTCCATTCTGAGACTCCCAGGAGCCACTCGTTGCTTCTGGTGCCTGGATTTCTCCTTAGTAACTGTCTTGAAAGAAGCCTCCTTATTTCAGGATACAGTTTTCGAACCCAAACTCTGCTGCTAGGCCTACACAACTCCCTTCAAACTTGTTTTCTCTATATGTCTTGCTCATTCAGACTGTAAAAAAACCCACAGCCTACAGCTGCTCATTACAGGGTTTCATCACGCAGAGTGCTGCATGTCTGTATAACAAAATATTCATTAAGCTGAAGAAAAGCAAAACAAAGTAGGATCAAAAAGGAAGGTATCAGAAACAGACACGTCTCAGGACACAACTCGTTCCCTTCATGGTACTTGGAGGTCTGCAGGAGCTAGTCCAGGGAGCACCGCTCTGTGCAAACTGTATTCCAGCCTCTACGGCACAGCAAGCTGAGAATAACATAGAAACACAGCCTATGGAGGAGAAATTCAAGAAATAGAAGAGTCTGAAGAGACAGTTACAGCATAAACCACCTGTTTAACAGGTGAAAATTAGAGGGGTCTTCACAGGTTCTTTAAATTCCCTATCTCACTTCACAAAACAAAAAGATACCAGATCAGACTTGCCTGCAGACGTTCCCGTACATTTAAGAAACACCATCCACCCTCTCCGAATTTGTTCTTTCGGATCCTGCCACAGCAGGTTAGCAAAGGCTTTCTGTAAATGTGATGTGGTTGGTATTTTTTTTTTGGGGGGGTGGGGTGTGTTTAATAATGAATCATATGAGAGGTAAAAGCAGGAGGAAACCTAGGAGCCTTTCAGCAGATAACAAATTTGCCAAATCCAGCCCTGCCACGCTGCAGGAAGCCTAGACCTGTTCTGTTTCACTTCGTGCATCGCTGGCAGCCAGACTCCGTATCCACGCTCTTTAGTGGCAATGTTTGCACACCGATGAGTCTTCCTGACGGGCCTGTTTGGCAGGCGGGCAATTATTCTTTAGAGTTGTAAAGCACACAAGTTAATCGGTGAGGAGCACAGCTAATTTTGAGATAGCATTTTTTGATCTGCTGACCACAACCAAGCTTGAATCCTTTTTCTTTCAAACCTATTTGACTGACAACGCGGAACAAAGCGACCAGACAACACAGCGAGTGTGCAGTTATGAGATACTTTGGCTCCTGCAGCAAAACAAGTTTATGATCCTCCCTGCCACTGGCCACAACTCTCCTCCTGCATCAACGCTGCTGATGTCGGGGACGCCTATTTTTACCTCGGATCAGTTCAATGACCCAATTTGCCGCAGTCAGATAAACAGCTGTAATTGCCCGGTCGTGAAACAGAGTGGGAAGCAGGGGCAAGAAGGGACTTCTTCAACTTGCTTCGCTGTCAAAACCATTACTGTGTAAGGGCAATCCTGCCCCACAGGATGAGGCAGCCAAGCTTTCCACCTCCTGAAGCCAGAGGAGATGATACAGCCCCAGTATGATTTCCTAGACTCTCACCAATCCCAATTCCCTTAATGACCTTTCTAAAGCCAAACTCATTTCAGCTGCTGACTGACGGATGCTCACACTCCGAAGCAGCACTCCCCTAGCTACTACCAAACTGTTTCCTTCCTCCCACTCAGGAGCTGCAGACTGTTCTTGAGGACCCACTGCCCGCTCGCAGAGAGCGGGGCACACGGCAGTGGGGCAAAGCAGGAAGAGCCCCGGGTGCTCCTGCTCGCATCGTCACAGTTCGGCTGTCAGGAAGGTTCGGTTTCACAGGGTCTCAACGCAGCCTCTCACACCAGTTCCAGATTCTCACCTTTCCTAAAAAAACACATTAAAAAATGTGGTAGACTCTGTGCGACCTGCTATCAGAGACAGATACAAGATACAACTATTTCTGTGCAAGGTAACAAATTAGAGATCTTTATCAAGAAAGAGGAAAACCAGCCACAGCCTTCTGAATGACTAGACTCAGGCAAAATCCCATGCTACAGCTGCTATTTATTACCTCTGGTGACGAAACTAAATGGAGAAACAAGCCAGTTTTACAAACACTGTGAGTAAAGGCCTGACCATACGCTTAGGACAAAAACAGAATTGCTTCCCACAACAGACAGCGACTGCAGGAACAAGGAAGATTTTAATAGGGAAAATTCAAAAATTCAGCAAAGGCTGAATGTCACTCAGCAAGACTGAATCTTCCTTTATCTCAGCCTCCAGTGCACTGAGAAGTAAGGAGCACATTTCCTTGCCGTGCTCCACTACCAGAATTAGGCATTACACAAAAACAAACGTGCTGCAGACTAGAAATATCTCAGCTCTCCCATTCAGCCCAATGGATGCCAAGCCCTCACGTAACACACACACCAAAGGTGCAAATAAACTGTTCGTATCTTACACACGTGACTCCCACAAAGCAACAAACTGGTTCCAGTATCACTCCAGAATCTTACAGAGGGAGCTGGTGCGTTTCAGCAGAAAGCACAGCATCCTGGAATTACGATGGCTGATACGAAATACTCATCTGCTACAGGAAGAAATGGGCACATAAAACCCCAAAGCAACTACAATTCAGGAGAGCAGATGTTGGATCACCCAAGAGATTTAATCACTAGTGGTGTGACCACCTGTGGGTCACACAAGGCAGAAGAAACAGCAACACAGCTCCCTTCTTGTGATCAAAGAGGCTCTGGAAAAGAGTTGCAGCATCTAGGGGCTCCAGCCACTCTTTATTCAATTATTTTTAATATGTCAACTTTCAAGATCAAGACAAATGTGTGCTGGTGTTATATAACAACCTCATTTGCCTTATTAAATTGCAAACAAAGAGAAAAAGGTTGTTTTCCCACTGCAGCACCTGCTTACAAGTGCTATATTCAGAAGTTCTGACTAGAGCTAGCGACTGCACTTTCATCTTAAGCTGTCTACGCCTTCAGCGTTAAGCAAGCTGGTACAAAGCTCATCAGGGCTGGTGGCTAACCCTCTGCACCCAAAGCTGCTCTCTCCCTCTCAGTTCCAACAGTCCATTCTCACTAGCAAAAACTGAGCGAAACAACAGCAGTGGGAAACACAACGTCAGCCTCCACCAGACTGTCTCACCTTACCAAATGACCTACACAGGGCAGAGAGAGGCTGAGCACTCCGGGGCTTTCAGGTATCTGGAACCAGCAACTGGCCCTACTGTTCACTCGTTGCAGGCAAGTCTAACATTCTGCTAGCTACAGAGAGATCTGCAGCTCTGAACCCAGAGAAGGAAGCATACAATTCGCTGCTGCTCTGGACAGGTAGAGAAACACTCCGCCTACTTTGCTCACCTCTTGGGTTACTTCCCCCAGACCCAAGAATAAAACCTCTTATGTCAAGGCTAAGTCCAAGAGAACTTGCTACGGAATAAGCAGAGTCTGTAAAAGAAGCAATACTCCTCTAAGCTCTTCAGAAAGCATTCCTCTATGGAGCACCGATCACTGAGATGGTGATCTACAAACAAAAAAACCCACAGCCCTTAAACATCTTAATTTTTCAAGCGAAAATAAACAAAGGCAATATTAAGAGAATAATCTGGCTGCCCTCAACACCGTATATATAGTAATATATAGTATATAGTAACACTATATACAAGGACTTACCAGATGCATGCTTTGCTGTGAAAACAACGGGAGAATAAAGCAAGCCACTAACAAGACTTGTTTCTTTAAAATACTTCAAGAGATTAAAAAAGTGAGTCATGGCAAAAGAGGCCTTAAATGCCTTGGAAAAAATACCAGTGCGTATTCTTCAAAGACACAAGGGCTGCTTCAGCAATTACTGTGCTGTTGCTTCTGTCCCTGCACTGGAAAGGCAGCATGAACGAGAGGGCTTCAACTCCCACATGCAGTAACATCAAGATGTGACAGGCTATCTCCAGCCCTCCGTCTCTCCTTTGTAGGAGCCTAATAAAACATCAATGCCTTGTAGCCACCTGCAAGGATGAAAAAAACAGCAATCTGCAAGAAAACACAAGTCTGCATATCCCTCACCACATACCACTACACCACTACCACCAGGTTGGTTCCACGGTGGGGACAGACTAAGTCACAGATGAACCACAGGTTAAGATTAAACATTCTCAAAAGATGGAGCAGAGCCTGGCTTTGGGCATAGCTTATCAGCAGGTTCTGTCTCCTCTGACAGAGGAAAGTCATATCCATAACTTGGTTCACAGTGAGAAATCATCCCAGATTCCTCACTGACAATAATTTCTTACACCTAATACTTTCTGCCATGTTTATCTGGACAAAAGTTGTCCCATCCTGGCTGACAGTACCAGACCTCTGTTACTCCCACTTTCCTCTGCCCCAACCTAGCATACTACATCAGCACACTGCTCGCAATACCCAAAGGTGGCTTTCAGAGCTCACAGAGCTCTCACCTGCCACAGTGTCTCCTGTGTGTCTCATCACAAACTTCTACTACTGTGCACATAACGGT